AAATAAATAAATAAATAAATAAATAAATAAATAAATAAATAAATAAAAGCATTAAGTGATCAGACTCCAAAACTGCACCAGAGTTAAACATTTAAAGTACAAATCACAGCTTTTAATGCCCCTATTTGAAATCAGCCTTGAAGGTAAAAGAAATGAGCACTAACTAAAAACATAAGCCAACAGAAATGACAGAAACGTGTAAGGCAGAAGCACAATTTTAGAAATCAGAAAATAAAAAAAAAATTTTTTTTTTGGTAAGTTGTTTCTTTGTAAAAATCACTAATCCAGCTATAAGTTTGATAAATCAGAATTAAGAAAAAAACAATAATAGGATAAAGATATAAAACTAGAATTAGCATTTACGGAACATAAACACTTACTATTACATTAAAAAAAAGAAGAAAAGACACCTAAATTGTTCAAAAGGGCCCCAAACTTTGGCAACATGTGGTTCATCTATAAGGTGAAAAGCATAATGGCGTGAGGAGTCGCTGAGTAGAGAAGGAAGACTTATTTTTCATTCAACAAATTCTGTAGTGTAGGTTTCTTTTAAATACATGTACGTGTCCGTGTGCACGTGTACATACGAGAATAAACTGCCCAGATGCCAGAAGAGAGGTCGGCCGCGCTGGAATTGGAGTCACAGTGGATGTGAGCACCTGCCATGAGTGCCGAGAACTTAACTTGTGCTCTGGGAGAACAGCAAGTACTCAGAACCACTGGGCAACCTTTCCGGCCCCAAGAACAAAGAATTCCTTAAAGCAATTCCACTCATTAATAAAATTAAGAGTTGTGAAAAAAAGAAAAAAAAATGAGCCAAGCAAATATACGTTTTAAAGTACACCTTGATTAAATAGAAGGATTCTGTGAATAAAGAATGGCTTCCCAAAGGACATTTATGACTGCAATTCACTGCCGACAGAAGTTAGGAAGAAAACCATGTAATAATTTTGAGATCATATACCGGCTATCAAGATGATCTCAACATCTGCCTGATAGGCCGCATCTATCCGTTCTTAGCAAAACTGCCCTTTGTAATGCTATGCATCCATCTCATTATCATTCCCCTCTAACTCCTTTTATCTTATAAACTAAAACCCTGTACTACAATAATGCTGCCGAGTACCAGAACTTTTATAATGCACAAATATACATTAAAAAAAACTCAAGTACACATGTAAACTTACACTTTCTGCATAATTCAGTAATTCAAAGAGCTTCTTGCTTGAAGGAGGAAACTGGTTATTTGTGTGTGCAAATGACTGTTCAGATATCTGGTTAGATGGATTCTTCAGCTTTAAGTTCAAGAAACGTGACTTAAATGGAATTGTAGCCTCTGTGCTCAGGCTTGGAGTATGTGTTCCATTCTGCAATGAGTTTATACTGTCTTTTTGGCAAAATTCTACAACAGCATAGAGACCCTATGTGAAAGGATAAGAAAAAGGAAAAAAAAAAAAAAAAAAAGAGTTTCACAATGATTTTCAACACATTAACATAGCATCCTCAAAACAATTACACTGTTACAAAATACTGCATTTTCAGTTCTATAAATGATATAATTCTGACACAACTCACTACAAGTAAATTAGAAAGAGACATTACTGCCCTAAAAGAATACTGTACCAGGATGGCACAGAGCCCAGCTCCCTCCCTCCTCTGTCAATATCTACAGCACTAGACTCCATCAGTAATTCTCAACCTTCCTAATGCTGCAACCCTTGAATATAGTTCCCCATGCTGTGTGACCCCCAACCAGAAAATTATTCTCATTGGTCGTTCATAACTGTGATTTTGCTATTGTTATGAATCACACTGTAAATATATTTAGAGAGAGATTTGCCAAGGGATTGAGAACCACTGCTCTAAGATCTGCAGATTACAGTCACTCTATTATAAGTTCCTAACAACTCCTTTTCTTTCTGCAATGCTAGGGTTGAACTCAGGGTCTTCAGTACTTAGTGACTGAGCTACACCCCAGGTACAAGTCTAAACCATTGCAATAAGGGTTTCTTTTCTTACACCCAAGGGGAGAAAGCCTCATTAAAGAAATGAAGGAATGGGTAGAATACCAAGAGATCTTTATTCACGTACTATAAAAAGCAACAAAAACTGCTTCCAAAAGCATAACCACCAAGTTAGACAGATTTTTAGATACATACAATGCTCTCGTAGAAGAAATGATTATTAATTGGTCCATGCTGGGATAAATACTTGAGAAACTTTTTCTCATTGATATTATTTGGACAATGTATCAAAACAGTCCTCTGGGCCTGTTCTCTTCTCTCTTTCTGTACCTCAGAGAATCTCTTTTTGAGGGTCCTGTCTTCAAAGCCTACAAATGAGACAAAAACATTTTCACTAATACACACACAAAATTTAAAATATATGTTGATAAAGTTTATGATGGTTATATGTGTGATTAAAACAAATTTACCCTAATCATATATTTTTTAAATTTATTTATTTATTGTATGTGCACATACATGTCTATGCACTGGTCCACATGTGGAGGTCAGAGGACAACTTTTGGGAGTAAGTTTTCTTCTTCCATCATGTGGTTTCAAGGGACTAAACTCAGGGGATCAAGCTTGGCCATAAAGCACCTCTCTAGCCTACAAAACCTGTACATTCTATAATACTGAAAAGCCTAAAGAAAATTAATACAAGTCTAAGTATAGTCAAACAGTGGTTTTAAGACATTTAACATACTGTAGCAAGTTGCTATAAAGATATTTTCCATCTTGAGTCTTGATCTGACTCAAACAATACCCAGTTGCCACCGATTAGGCACTCAATAGAAGTAAAAAACTTAAAATCTAAGGTTGGAGATAAACTTCGACTAGTACAGCACTTGCCTAGCACACACAAGGCCCTGGTTCAATCCTCAGTACGATGTAAATCGGGGTGTGAAAAGTACATGTTTGAAATCCCAGCTATCAGCAGAGTAGGAGGGTCACATGTGCAGGTCATTGCCCACTACACAGTGAATTCAAGACCATCCAGAGGTACAAAACCTTTCTCGAGATAAGGAGTTTTACAAAGACAGGGGATGAAGACAGGTGCTGTAGTGTCAAAAATGAGATACATTCATTGGCCACAAAGGAAAACGGACAACTCACTTTCTCCTCAAAATATTAACTTTGAATTGGAGAGTATAAAGTGCATTTTCTAAGTCTGAAGGGTAGACTTTAATACCTATACTTTAATCACTATAAATACTGTGATTTAATACTTTAATCACTATAAATAATGAAGCACTAAGTTTGACACCAACACACCTAACACAATTCCAGGGACCAAACAAAGATCCTACAATGAGAGTTGTAACAGACACACGGCAATCAAAAGCATTGATCCCAGTCAAGAAAGTACTCTAAACACTTGATCTTGACTTTAGCAAACTCCAAGAAACTTTCATGGGAAAGAGGGAGATTTGGGTGAATGACATGGTGAGCTGCTGAATCCCAAACTGTCCTCCTCAGCACCAGTTCAAAGCCAAGACTCTCAGCCACATCAGAAACTCTGGGCCTTGACCGCTCATCATTTGAACAACTCAGCAAACAAGCAGAAACATTGGTCTTCTCCCCCTGCACTAGGTACTGAAGACACACTTCTAGATGTGCCCTCCTATTCACTCCGTGCCAACCTTCAACATTCAGGCCTGTGCCATCGCAGCAGCCTCACTCCGAGATTGCTCTCGGGTACTCTTGTTTTGTCCTCCTCAACCGATGTTCCACACTCCTGACAACATGATCCCTTCCACCTGTAAACTGAAGTCTAAACGCCGCAGCCTAGGCTGCTGGCACCCTGTGCCTCCTTTCCGCCTCAACAACAGTGTCTTCCATTTCTGCTTTCATACTTCTCACGTACCGTACTGTACACACAACACCATTACATGCTATGAATTTGCTTGCTTCCACCCCCTTGTAGGAATGCCCACCTGCTTGCTTTCTGTCTGGCCAACTCCCATTCAGCCTTCAAATTTTGCTTAGGTGTGGGAAGACTTCAGGCACTTCACTGCAGACTCTCTTCCACCTCTGTATGACCTCACTTCAGTATCTACGAAGGAGTGCAATTCATAGGACTGTTATGTGCATTTATTTAACAGTATGGAAGACTGTCTTCTTCCATGGTAAGGACAGAGACTTCTCTACTGCCTGACAATTTGATCTTAGCCATGAGACTGTTCTTCCTCTCAGTCCTCGTTTCCTCCTTTTATATGCACTAGGTTCTGCCTGGCCCACCTCACCACAGCACCCTAATGATACAAATGTGCAGCATAATCTATATATGGTAAGGGGAAAACGAAGTCCTCAAAGTCTGGAGAGTTTAATTGTTGTTTCTGCCACTGTAGAGATGGGAAAGCTTGAACTTGAAAATCAGACTTTTTTTTTTTTAATTCTCTTCTATAAAATGGAGTCATAGGGCTGAGGAGATGGCTCAGTGGTTAAAGTGATTGCCACAGAAGTTTGAAGACCAAAATTCAGATTCCTAGAACCCAGGTAAACGCCAGGTAGGCATGGAGGCCCATCTGTAATACAGAGAGGGTTCCCAGAGCAACTACTGACACTACTTCTAAGATAGAAGAGCAGTGCAGATGTTCTCCACATCAACCACATATCGTACCCACAGGTACTTGCACTTACACATACGCTCATACACTGTGACCATACACATACATGCACAACCCATACACACATACAGAGAAAGAAAATGGAAAAAATTAAAAACTAACGGAGCGATAATTCCTTCTGTTCTACTCCACAAGTTTGATTTACGTCCCAAAGAGCATATGAAAACGCTCTCAAACTTAGGCCACCCCATGAACGCTAAATTACAACAGAGTCTCTGGCAGAATCCTTATTTGGGTTTGCAGGATTATTTAAGATTTTTTAACAGAAGCAGCTTCTGCTAAACCCAAGCCAATCACTATTTCAACATGCAGCAAATGTCTTGCAAGGCTGTTCTAAGTCTGAAAACCATCCACACATTATTGGGATCCAAGAAAAGTTCAGTGAGGATGGGAACTCAATAGACAAGGCATATACATTTAGAAGGTTCCTGTTAAAAGAAAGAATGCAAATCTGTTACCAAACAGGCTGTACTGAAAACTCCAAAATAATAAAGAGGCATTTTCCTAAGCACAGTGTCCTGGGAGCCAGGAAAATCAGCTGTTCCTTAGGCTCAGGTGTATTCAGCCTTTGGCGACATCTTATGGATACTGCACTGGCTAGTTTTATTCGGTCACCTGAAGCGAGGAAGCCTTGAGAAAATGGCTCTGCCAAGATTGAGCTCCAGGCAAGTCAATAAAGCATTTTCTCAATTAGTGATTGATGTCGAAGGGTACAGCCCATTCTCGGTGGTACCACCTTGGGCTGGTGGAGCTGGGTGCTATAAGAAAGCAGATTAAGCTAGCCACGAGGAGCAAACCTACGTTATCAGCATTCCTCCATGGCCCTCTGCGCCAGCTTCTGCCTCGGATTCTCGCTCAGTTTGAGTCCCTGCCTTGGTTTCCCGCGGCCAGAGAAAAATGTAAGCCAAACAGTTTCCTTCCCAAGTTGCTTTTGGTCACGGTCTTTCATCCCAGCACTACTAACCCTAACTGAGACAGATTATCAAAGGCAGATGAGCTGAGGTCAGGGACGCAGCAGACGCCACTGAGCGGCAATATCGGTTATAATTATTAACCCCGCGAACGGTTTTCGTGTTGAACTATAAAGCATTAGCCCACTATGTCACTGGCCTAAACAATGTCACTGCTGTGCGCGGGAGTCGTCCTCCACAGTGACAGGCGGAGCACGAGCCGCTCGCCCTCCGCCCGCCTCGGCCGGCCCCGTCACCTGTCTTCGCACCCCTCGGGGGCTGTTCTTCGTTCCTGACTTTCGCGGCTACAGTCCCCGGACAACTGAGGTGCCTGGAAATAGAGCGGAGGACTCGGCTACTTCTCTGGGAACACAGGGGCAAACAGGTCAAACGCCCCACGCCGCGAGCCGCCATTGTTAAGGCAGCAGGAAGTAAACGCAGAAGCGGCCTTCTGAGCATGCGCGCCGACAGCCGGCGCCAACGGAAAGCCCATTGGATCGAACTTAGAAGACTATTTCGCGTAGAAAGCAAAACATGGAGGCCAGAACGGAAAAAATCACTGAGGTTTGCAAATACTTAAGTGGCCCGAATTTAACTATCTGTATGCCTCACTGTACGCTGATGAGGTGTTGCTCCTCCGTTATAGAGAGTTTAACTTGTTGCGCTTTATTCACACTTTGTTGAAGAGGAAAATAAAAAATCAGACTCGGGTCAGACTTTCACTGCTATTGTTTTATCCCTCAATAGGCGCCTTCTAATACCGAGAGAGGTATCTTTTTAAAAGTGCTCAGTGTTACTAACCTTAGTAGGTTTGTGTGACTATCAAGTTGTCCCTTTAACCGACTCAACTTTTTTGTTTCTAATCAGGTTTTACCAATTGAATTATATCCCTGCATTCCATCGCACAACAGAGGAAATTTTTAATTTTTTCTTTCTTTATTTGTAAATTATGTGTACGTGTGCTTGTATGTGAGTTTGTGCATGTGAGGGCAATGCCCAAAGAGGCCACAAGAGGGCATTAGATCCCTGGGGCTGGAGATAGCAGGGCCTGTGAGCCATCTCCTTTGGGTGCTGGAAATCAAACTTTGATCCCCTGCAAAAGCAACACAGGCTCTAATTACTGATCTGTCTTTCAAGCCCCTGAATCTTTTTTTTTTTAAATAAATGTCAATTAGGAAGAAATAAAAAATGAACAGAATGTAAATTATCAAAAGAAATATAATAACTACTATTTAAAATTATTAAATCTGGTATACTTAAAGTTACTACAAGGAAAGCTGAATACAGGTACAGGAAACAGGCACAAGGAGGTGGGGGCAAGATAATCAGAAGTTGAAGGTCTGGGTGCACAGACAGTTCAAGGCAGGGCAGGCTTCATCAGACCATGTCGTAAATAAATAAGCCAAAGATAGCTTCAAAGGTTTTATCATAAGTATGTGTATATATTCTGTGTAAATATCTTGTTCTGGACACTTCAACATATGTTGGAGTAAGATATTTGCACAGTGACTTCTGGGATAAGCAGCAAAAGCAGTTTTCATTTCTATTTCCAGACATTGTTTTAATCGGTATTTATCCTTTCAGTGTTTACAACACAATGAGGTGAAAGCTATTACCTCCATCCATTTCCTGTGGAGGAAGTAAGGCAGAGCAACAGTAACACTCCTGAAGTCACACACAGTTGGAAGCTAAGTTTGTGTGATCCACTGAGTGTTTCCTCTTTTTTTACTGTGCACTGCTCAGTGACTTCTAGTACAGTCACAGCTTTGTAACAGTCACCCTGGTCATCGTTAGAACATTTTTGTCGCCCCTTAGCTCTCACTTTCAGCTACCCATTCTGCCCCACCACAACCTTAAGCATCAACTTTCTTTCTCTATAGAATGGCTATTTGAGATATTTTGTTTACATTAAATATCATCGCATGCAAGGCCTCCTGAATGGATTCTTTAGATAGATGAGTATTTTTAAGCTTGCCTCCTTGCTGTAGCATCGGGCCTCTTCCCAGACAAATGATTTCCCAAATATGCATCTCTGTTTATCAGTGGTTAGATCTTGGTGGGTTGTTTCTACCCTTTGGCTATTATAATTAATGTGGCTAAGAACATTCATGTGTAATTTTTGTGTGCAAGTGTGTGCATCTAGAGGTCAGAGGTCAACATCAGGGGTCTTCCTCTATTTCTTTCTCTATTCCTCTATTGCTCTCCACCTTTTCTTTTGATAAAGTGTCCTTCCAGGACCTGGAGCTCCCAGTTTTGTCCAGACAGGCTAGCCAGTGAGATCTGCCTGTCTCTGCCTTTCTTCACCTGGAGAAATTGAGCTAAAACTCGGGTCCTCTGTGAAAACAGTATGTATCCTTAATTGTTTCACCAACACCCCAGCCCATTTTAACACTAAAATTATATTTATTTTGATATATATTTGCTCATATATGTGTGACAGAGATTATATATACAGACACATATGTGAATGCCCATGGAAGCCGGAGGTGGCTTTGGATCTCCTGGAGCTGGAATTACAAGCAATTGTGAGCCACCTAATATCAATACTGGAAACTGAAGTAGCATCCTCTGCAAGAACAGCATGTCTCTCCAGCCCCTATTTTAATGTTTTGTGGAACTCCTAGGCTTTATCTCAGAGGGACTGTACACTTTTCATTGCCACAAGACGAGGTTTTGTACATTCTTGACAATATTTGCTAATTTTTGGCTTGTGGAATTAATGTCTTTTCTGTCATTGTGATAAAACTTCATGACCGAGGTAACTTATAGAAGAGTTATTGGGGCTTACAACTTCAGATAGTGAGAGCCCATAACGGCAGAGCAGAGCAGATAGGCATGGACTGGAGCAGAATGCTGAGAGCGCGCATCTTGAGCTACAAGCACAAAGCAAAGAAAAAGCATTGGAAAGGGCTCAGGTCTTTAGAGACCTCAAAGCCCACGCCCGGCAACATACTTCCTTCTGCAAGGCCGTACCTTCTAAACTTACCCAGAGAGCTCCACCAAATGGGACCAAGTATTCAAACATCTGAGCCTATGGGCAACATTTTCAACCAAAAAACTACAGTTTGGTTTTGTCGTGGTTGTTTTGTTTTATTTTTATATCACCCATCCTAGTGGATGTGAGATAGTGTCTCAGGTTTTTGATTTGCATTTCCCTGGTAGAGGAGCATCTTTTAATGTTTTTTTTATTGGCGTTTGTGTATTCTCTCTGGGGAAAGACCATTTCCATGCTTTGCTTTAAAAATGAAAACAAAACACACAAACAAAAAGCTTGATTTATCTTTCATTATTGAGCTGGAAGAGGGTCATAGATTACTTTCCATGAAGGTCAGTAATCTAAGAATTTGTTCCTTTAGGCAAGTACTTTACACTAAACTGAACTTTCAACTCCTGAAGCATTCTTTATGTATTCCTGATAAAAGACTTGTTCTGGATAAGAGACTCTTATATTTGGTTTGCAAATATTTAACTCCATTCTGTTGTTGTTTGTACTTTGTGCAGGGGGAGACACGTTTGGAAGTTAGAAGACAGTTGGCAGGAGCTGGTTCTCTTCTCCCACCGTGTGGGCACCGGAGGTTGAACTCAGGTCTTTGGCAGCAAATACCTTTACCCACAAAGCCTTCCTACCCACCTCCTGTTTTGCTTTCTTTATTATTTCATTTTTGTTATTGTTGCTTTGTTCCTTGAGTCAGGGTCTCACTTTGCAGCTTTGGCTATCCTGGAACTTGCTCTGTAGAGTATGCTGGCCTGGAACTCACAGACCCCACCTGCCTCTGCTTCCCAAGTGCTGGGATCAAATCACTATATCTAGCTTTTAGTTTTACCTTCTTAATGACCAGAGTGCTGTAATTCTACAACATCACATCCCCATTCAAAAGCCTCTAAGAGGGATACAGGCATTTCCATTCTTCCTGGGAGAAAGTTTATAATCATAGCCCGGAATATCAGGAAACCAGGAGCCTGGGTGACCCTCAATCAGCAGAATAATCACAAAATCTCACCCATTGTGGAAGCTGCATCATGGAGTCCTCCAGCTTGTTTTAGATAGATAGATAGATAGATAGATAGATAGATAGATAGATAGATAG